CAAACAGTAACAACAAGTTCATTAATTTAGTTTCAAACTCTAAAAAGATCACAGAGGAGGATGATTCAAAGTTTATACCTTTTCCAAGGAGTTCAAGTAATCAACAGCTCTTTCTCTGTTCACCAAGAAGGTATGTTCATCCATCTCAATATTCGGCGAACCCCTAAATCAAAATTCCAAAAAAGATCAAATCTTTGATGATTCTGAAACAGAGTTTACGAAAACAGAGTATACCAAAACAGAGGATACTCACTTTCCCCACCAAAGCTCGCCCTCTGTAGTCGCATCTCTAACGACACGCTTATCCCTCGGAGCACGACCAGTCTTGGCACCAGAAAGCGTCGCCAAGGCTCCATTGGAAGTGATGAACGAACCTTTCTCGTACTTGATCGCCTGCTCGTAGAGCTCTGCGGGAGAAAGGTTGTAGAGGACGTGTGTGAATTTCAAGGAGCTATCACTGACGGCGCCTAGATCCGGAGAGAAGATGGAGTGATGCTGGCCGTGTGCGTACGCCGGAGTAGTGGAACCGTCCGCCTTCTTCTCCGCCGGGTCTCCTCTCACCACTTTGGGTCCTGACTCTCTCGTCAATGACGCCAACGATGCACTGTGTCACACCCAATCCAAAGTTAATATTAATTCCACGTGTCATTTCGTGCCACGTGTCTTGTATTTTAGATTTTTTTCTTTCTCGGATGGCGCATTAAATGTCATATTGAGTAAAAACGTAAAACGAGTAACGCTAGCTTATTTTGTTTTAATAAATTAAATATCAATATATCTGGCTAAAAGACAATTACAAAAATAAGAAAAACGAAAGTCCTGATTTTCTTCTGTTTGTTATGAAAATGATCGACACGAAAACGCAATATCTTGCTTAATTCGATAATAAAATTTTAAATTAAATAGCATAACGTAGTTATATGAATTGGTTACGTCTAAATTATATATGTGAATAAATAATGGACCTGATAGACTGGAGCTGAATCTTCTGGCGCTCCTCCTCCGAGACGGCGGAGAAAGCAGCGGCGCCGCTTTGGTTAATAGGAGTGGTGGGGGCAGAACGCTTCTTCTGTAACGAGTGAAGCTCATCGATGGTCGTGGCCTTCACCGTCGGACCACTGTCATCGTGGCATATTTCGCTACCCCTCTTAGCTCCCGTCGTTATCTTAGGCATCGCTGGTCCTTTCGGGAAGCTGAATCCTCCGTCACCGTTAGCATTTCCGTTACCTGCCGACATCTTTTGATCCGTTACCTGCAAAACCACACACAAACTTGTCAACTCATACTTATGTCGTAACGTTACACTGTAATTAAAAAAACCACGGTCGACGTAAACTATTATTACCGGAGGAAGGAAGAGAGATCACGAGGAAGAATACTTGAGAAAGATCTAAAGAGATTAATGATCGGAGGAGAAGATCATTTGATGTGTATGGAAGAGACGATGAAATGATGCGAGGTGAAGAGAAGCCAAAGTGGGCTTTTTAAAGGTTAGATTTTTTAAACCATGGTTAGAATTTAACCTTTAAGAGAGTTAACTATAGTTAAGATCTATCCTAGGAGGAGCCCATTTTTCATATTTTATTTTCTCTTCTCAACATCATAGCCGCTGGTCTGATAAAGATGACTATACCATTTATTATGGGCCCCCACGCGATAATGTAAGATAGTTTTGATAATTTTTTTTATGAAAAATAGTATTTCAATTTTTTGTTTGAAAAAACTTGATAGCTCTCCTACGGTTGAAATCCACGTAGTTGGTATGAAATTCAACTTTATTTTGGGAATCAACATTGAGATTTGACTTTGTTAACTAGTAATTAAACCAAATGAAAAAGATTTTTATCTAAAATAGTTATGATGGGAAATAAACCCTTAAGAAACCGAAGGTAACGTGTAATAAGCAAGCAACTTGGTTTTTTTTCAACTTGTTTTAGAAATAGGAAAGAAAAAAATTCGGTATATGAGCTAATGTCATTTTTTTTATCAAGTTGGGACTTTTAAATTTCAGCACAATAAATATATTATCATCAGACGGTATTTTAGTTACGTTTATTTTATTTTAGTTTTTTTTAACAGAGTTTATTTTATTTTCTTGTTATGTACTCTTATTTCCTGTATCTTTTTTTTTTTCGCAGACTGAAAGTGTAGAGTATTTATCAGATGAATCAATCATTCCTTTTATTCTCATTACCATGATATTTTATTAATCTGATCAATGTAATTATCGTGGAAAGTGTATGTAACTTGAACTGACTTTATTAGAGGAAGCCAAATCACAGGCAACTTGAAGTTCGGCTCAATACCAAAAAAACTATCTCTTTGTTTTAGTTTGAGATAAACAAAAATCTTTAGTGACTTATATTGAGTTTTTAATTGCTATTTACAGTAACAGAACTATACAATAGTGAGACCATTTTCATGTTTTAAAAGATTTTATGTCTTAGTAGACATCAGCCATATTGAAAGAGAGCTCATACACCTCCCCCCCCCCAAAAAAAAAACAAAAATAGTATCTATATTTTCTACTTGTCAAATTTTATCTAATACTGAAAAAAATAGAACAATATTGAAATTCGCATTTTACCAGAAAAAAATATTGAAATTCGCATGATCGTTTTAGCGGAATATCGAAAACGATTGTGTTTTAGGAGATGGGCACGCATCTCAAAGCAGGTGGATTCGTAGAAAGACACGCAAGGCTGAAAACACGTATATCAGTATATGTACGAACACTAATTTTGTAATTAGATTCACACTGTAATTTTATATGTATCAGGAACATACAAGTACAAGATTACGTTTTGATTGTTTTAGTTTACAGTTACAAGTACCTTCATTACGTGTCGTTAAGTCAAATCACTTGATTGTATCAATTATCAGTAGTGATAAAATCTAGCTTTCTGAGCTCGAAAAGTGAAGGAGAATATTGTTAGCAGAGACGTAACAATTTGCATGCAAGCATGGGCGCAGGGTAATGAGTACAAGATAATAAACAGACTGTAACCATTTCAAAAAAGCTGAGGCCAAGAATCTACCCTCTGTATTTTTAAAAACAAATGAATAAAAGTCTTGTGAAATGAAAAAGGTGTATGTAATTGTCATAAAGTAGGCGCTACGTAATATCACAATGAAACACGGGGTTCGCATTTTGATGACAGAGATGTTTTCATGACAACTTATTTTTAGCTATAAGAATATGCATAAATCTCCAGTAATTTACAATGTTTTGGGAGATTAAAGTCTTTCGCTGGACTTGATTGTTCGCATTTTGATGACAGAGATGTTTTCATGACAACTTATTTTTAGCTATAAGAATATGCATAAATCTCCAGTAAGTTACAATGTTTTGGGAGATTAAAGTCTTTCGTTGGACTTGATCTTTTTATGAATAAGAGTTTAATATTGTTAAAAAGGATAGAAAAAGAAGTCTCTGGGTGGCACATATGTTATCGCGATGGAGAGAGAAAACAATTCACAACTAACGCGAGAGAGTCCCATGAAAATTTCATGAGTTTGTTTTGGTTGTCGGTCTTGGCCGTGACCGATAGATGCTCACATCAATGATCTAATTTCAAAAAGAAAAGAAAAAGTTATTATTAATTTGAATATTAATCCAATGCTGAATATTTTGAGAAAGCTACATATATATTTTGTCAACTTTTGCAAGAGTAGGAGTTTGGTAACTATAGTTAAATATCATTGTATGAAACATCTTAACTACATTAAAAACTTCTAGCCAAAACAAATAGTTTTCTTTTTACATTTCGACTATGAATTGTTACATAGCTAAATGCCAGTTCGTATAAAAATCTATATAGTAAATGTATAATGCATAATTCATGTTTCTTGTATAGTAATTTTTTTTCCTATTTCCAATTCGAGTTTTAATGTTCAAGTAACTATGTAGGTTAAATAACTGTGTAAACTCATTTCTATAATGGTAAAGACTATAGATTATACTCTATCTTACAACAAATGAAACCTTCAAATGGTCGACAAAAAACCCTTTAAATGATATCATGTGAACCCTGTTTTATTTTAAACCATGCAATTTTTCAGGACAAACCATTTTAAAGAGCACTATTGGGCATTGGTACTTTTTGAACCAGTAGTAGAAACCTAAAAGTACAAAGTTCAATAGTTATTTTCCATATTGATCATGATCAATAGCTTCTTAAAATTTGTTAATGGAATCCAACGCTTAAACATGTGGAATGGAGTAGGTTAGGGTAGTACTATTATGTATCTACTCTAAATTTAACTTTATGATTCTTCCATTGGTTCTTTCTTTAATACTAGTAAATTTGTTATATTCCCATTACAGATTCGAAGTTTGTCTCCTTGCGGGGGAGGCTTATTCACACTCTTCTCTCTTTTTCTTTTCTTGGATATCTCAATTTTCAACACTGCACACAAAAAGAGTTCTACTGATGTCATAATTAAACGCATTACTTTTATCGTTTTCAGGGTTGCACATAAATCACAAAACACATAGGGTCTGATTGGTAATGGCTGTAGCTTTAAAATTTTTGCTGTAGAAAAAAATCTGTAGACTTTTTTGCTGTGGCTTTAGATTAAATTGCTGTAGATTTTTTGGAAAGCACTAAAAAATTGCTTTGGATATTTGGCTCTGCAGAGCACTTGTATAGCTGTAGGTTATTTCAAGAGCTCTGATTTCAAAAAAAAATTTAAAGCTTGATTGCTCTGAATTTAGTGCTGTAGAAATAAAAAGAGCTGTGGACAGCACCTAAAGCAACTACCAATCACCCCCATAGACTAGTATGTAAAAAAGTTAACCCCCCCCCCCCCCAAAAGTATATCTTTATCTCACAAGCTGACTAACATTTGGGCCTTCTTCTTCCGCTTTTTAAAATAAAAAATGGGCTTTAGTCCAGAGCAAAAATCATTAGATAGATCCAACGGTTGAGATTCATTCGTCACCAATAACATTGCACACGTTATCGTTTCTCGCAAAGTCATAAAGATAAATAATAAATAAAAAATCTAGTTTCCTCTTTCGCTCGACGGTTCTACGACCCTTTGATCCACACAACCAACTTCATCTCCCACCTCTCGATTTCAGGTATTGTAAACTCTTCGATCTTCCTCTCGATGACTTCTCTCTCCGCTTCGTTTTCTCGATTTCGATTCGCGAATTCGTTATAATACAGAAATCGACGTAGATCTTTCGATTCTTGTTATCTGATTTGTATTATTGACTGATCCGTTGCTTGTTACGGTTATTCGATTAGGTTTCCGAGTATTGATTAGATTCGATTTGAAATATTTAGATCCGAAACGATTGGTTGATTCTCAGGTACATTTGATTTATCTAAAGAAATGGAGTTAAAGAGCATCAAAGACGCGTTTGATCGCGTCGCGAACAAGCACAAACTCTCATACACCAAAACGCACGAGATTGTTCAGATGCTTACTCAAGAACTCGAAAAGGCGTTAAGCTTAATGAATGATACGCAGTTTGATCATAAGTCTATCCTCCTCGACGTCAAGAAACTCTTCACTGAGAAGTCTCCAGGGACTCAACTTGAATCCGCTGATAAAGAACTCAACGTGGCTCTCACTAAGTACCCTAAAGTTTTGGAGAAGCAACTCAACTCGGAGATATCAAAGGCTTATAGAAACAATGTTGAGTTTGATACTCATGTTGTGAACCAGATCATTGCTAACTTCTTCTACCGTCAAGGGATGTTTGAGATTGGTGATTGCTTCGTTGCTGAGACTGGTGAGTCTGAGTGTACTACAAGACAGTCTTTCGTGGAGATGTTTAAGATACTGGAGGCTGTGAGGAGGAGAGATCTTGGACCGGCTCTTAACTGGGCTGGAGCAAACTCAGAGAAGCTGAAGCAAGCGAGGTCTGATCTCGAGATGAAGCTTCATAGCTTACAGTTCCTGGAGATATCTCAAGGGAAAAACTCGCAAGAAGCTCTCAACTACGCGAGGAAACATTTCGCTGTGTATGCAGATAGCTGTCTCTCTGAGATCCAGAGGCTTGTTTGTTCTCTCTTATGGGACAAGAACTTGGAGCAGTCACCGTACTCGGAGTTTCTTTCTCCCGTTCTGTGGGACAATGCAGTGAGAGAGCTGACGAGGCAATACTGCAACCTACTCGGTGAATCATCTGAAAGCGCTTTGAGTATAACGATCACGGCAGGGACACAAGCTTTGCCTGTGCTGTTGAAATACATGAACGTGATTGCGAACAAGAAGGTGGATTGGCAGACTATAGAGCAGCTTCCTGTAGCTGTGGAGCTTCCCGAGGAGTTTCAGTTTCATTCGGTGTTTGTCTGCCCTGTCTCCAAGGAACAGTCGAGTGAGGATAATCCACCGATGATGATGTCTTGTGGCCACGTGCTTTGCAAGCAGACGATCACCAGAATGTCGAAGAATGGTGCGAAGACTACTTTCAAGTGTCCTTATTGCCCCACCGATGTAGACAGCTCAAGGTGTAAGCAGTTACACTTCTGAAAGTGTATGACCGATTTGGAACTGAAAGTTCTGACCGGTAGATTCAGTGTCCTACTGTGTTTTGTTTTCGTTGAAGGTTTTCTCATGTACAAAAAAAAATCATCAGGGAAGTTTTAGATAATTCGGGACATCCCATAAGACGTGTTTGTGTTACTCTGCTTGTTTGTTCAACGTTTTAAATATAGAAATTCTTTACATTTCCAAAATTAGTTTTAATTCTCCGATATAACCATGTTTACACCAACTAGTTTTTAGTGTGTTACTTTTGATTTGGCTCTAGAGCTATCTGATTTTGAATCTTTCATATACCAAATTCAAAAAAGCAGCAAGTTGGTTTGGTATGAATGAGCTTTTACGAAGAGAGTTCAGTTGATATGAGTGGAAAAGAACGGTCCAGCTTCAGTAATTTAATAATTGATTCTATCGTTCATAACCATATTCAATCCAGTTAACCGGTCAAAGATGATAGCATGGATAAACCAAACAAAGTGACTTCTCTACAACTAATATGGGCCTTACATGGGCTTATTAACATGATGGCCCATCCAAAATATTAGTTTGCAAAGGGAGTCCATATTCATTCGTAAATTCCAATATCGCTGCATATTCTACAAAATTACTCTCCCCCTTGTAAAAAGAGAAAAAAAGGCCCTTTCAGTTCAAAAATTCATCAACAGAAGTAGTATCTTGTTCTTCTTCTGCCTTCTTGGGATTACCATCAGCCACAAACGTTTTCTTGTCCAAATACTCCTCTTCAATCGTGTCTTTGAGGACGAATAGCCGCTGGATAACGATAGGTTGGCTCATCTGTTTAGCTTCTCTAATGTCAGTCTCTTCCTTGTTGAGATGGTAAGCATCAAGCATTATCTTTATCCACTTATGCAGCTCCTTAGGCGTCCTGTGTGTGAATGAATCAACAGCGAGTGGTTAAAGATTGATTACATCAACTAAGGTTTGGATGTTGATTGGTTACTTACGTGTATAATGCTTTAGGGTCCTTAGCTTCATGGTCATCCCCAGGAGAGAATGCTGTTGCTAGAGCAGAGAATCGTTCTTCCGGGTCTGTTATGTTGAGCAAGTACTTTAAAAGTTTGATCTCTTTCGGCGTGATGCTTCTAAGACTGCTCTTTGTAGCTTTGTATAGATGACACATTATGTCTTTGGCCTATTCACAAAAGATAAAATCAGTAGAAGACAAGAGAAGATTGTAAACTTCAAAGCTTTGGTGATGTAATAAAATACCTCGTTTGTAACGGACTGAGACTCTTTAGCAGCAGCATAAGCAGAGTTTATCAATAAGATCAATGAGGAATCTAGCTCCTTGGCCTTAGCAAGGCTTCTGATCTTGTCACAAGCAGCATCCACGGAAGAAGAGTTTAAGATATCATCAAACTTTGCTTGAGCAGCATCTAAAGTCTCAACATTATCCAGTGTGTTGTCATAAGCACTCACTGCAGATAAACATCTAGCAGAAAGCCTCGCAACAGCTGCATCAACAAAGAAACGAGAAAACAGTCAGAAGCAAAAACATAGTTAGTGTTTTTGAAGTACTACCATCTCTGTCTTCTAAGCCATCAAGAGTTTCTGATAACAAAGCAACATAGCGGAAAAACTCTCCAGTGAAGTCTCTGCGTCTCTTGGCAGCAATTGCGTTTATGTCTGTTGGATTCTCTTGAATCTCCTTCAGAAGGTCATTGTGCTTCTCCATTTCCTCATCTATCTGCAAATAACAACACACATAAGTACTACAATAACTGCTTACAAACAGATGTTTATACAAACCTTCTTGACTTTACTCATCAGAGAAACAAGTTTCTGCTTCAACAAGGGATCAGTTTCAGTATCAGCGCGTGTTCTGCAACGCCTATAGAAGTTGACACTGTACTTGTTCCATTCATCTCTTAAAACCAAATACTTCTTCCACTCTTTAACTTTAGGTTTCTCGTACAAGAAAAGATCAATGATTTTGTCACAGAACTGAGCCATAGTGTAGCCTTCAGCAACCTCAACTTCCATCGGATCCTCAACAACACACTTTTTCACTTCCGTACCTAATTTCAAAATTGGGAGCCAAAAGGGATTAAATTTTTGGTAATTTAAGAAGAAAAGATGAGAACTTTAGGGAGCTTACTTGTTGTGGTGCTGACAGTGTCAGTAGCAAAGGTGATACTTCTTGAGGTTTTGCGTCTGCTTCTTCCTCCATTGATGAAAGCAGAGGAAGGGAGAAGAAGGGTTTGTGGATTACTGGGAGGGTAATACAGTAACTTATCCGCCGAGGAGAAGAAGATTGATGTTTCCAGTAAATTCGCCATTTTTGGATTAGTTCGTCTTCTTGACAGAGGATAAGAGGAAGAGACAGGGTTGGTTGTCTTTGTGAATTTAAAAATCTTTTACAATAAATTTTGGGGCAAAACTGTAAATACTAATACAACTTGCATCATTTTGAAATTTTACAAAAGGGTAATATAGTAGCATGACATCACATATTCACATGAGACAAAGTTATTTGAATTGAATTTACCAGAAACTGAGTTCAAAGAATCATATGTTATTCATTGTTTTTTTTTTTTTTTTTTTTGCTTAAATTTTGTGATGTTATTCATTGGTTCATTAACCCATATACAAAGTATCATATGTCTCTATTGTACATAATTTTTTGGTATAGAGATGTTAAAACGATGATCATGCATCATCTGGAGTCTGAGCATTTCCACCACTTTCAATGTTGCTATTGTTTTGTTTTTGACAGTGCAACAACAGAACTTGAGAAGCAAGGAAAGAAGTCATAATCAGTATCAGGCCATGGTCAGGTTAGCAACCCTGGCCAGACATTAGGATCGCAAAAGGTATGCTCGATCCAATAGCAGCCCTGGCCAGACATTAGGATCGTCTGGTTGCTCACGCGGAGTCACAAGGACAAGATAGTAATGTATCGAGTCCATATCTCTAAGCAGGGTCATGTAGAGGGGGTCACCCTTGAATTGACCAGAGACGAGGATCAAACTTGCTTCATGAGGAGGAGAGTCCCTTGACAATAACATGATGTCATTCAACATTCTGATTCGTCTCGAGTTCCCTGTGGAAGTGAGAGATGACATAAGATACAAAGGAAAAAAAGAAGAGAGAGAGAGTGTGGAATGATGTACCTCCGGGAAGAAAGTAGATTCTGGAACCCCAAGTCTTGTTACGCGCCAGAAGCTCAGAATCATTATCCACATAAGCCCAGATTGAAATCTTACGGCTAAACCCTTTTTTGATAAGAGTTTTTGAGATCTTTTTAAAGATAACATCAGGAGAGGAGGAGAAACAAAGAGGGAATGGAGAATCCACAGCGTCCCAGAAGACCACTGTCCTTTGCCCTATGACGTGTTTGGCACGCTCTGAGATAAGAGATGTTAGAAACCTAAAAAGAAAAAGAAAAAGAAAAACAAGGGAAGGGATGGTGTTACCGGAGAAATCTATCATCTCCGTGGAGCGACTGCTATAAACCTCCTCCTCATTAGGAAAGGAATGAGGACCGCAGTCAAGCTTAGCCTCAAGTTGATCCTCATAAGTTACAAGAGCTTTGTGTATAGGCTTTCCTCCACCTAAAAGTTGTGCATTATCAAATAGAGAACTACGACTAAATAATCCATCCGGAGGCTCTATGAGGAGAGCATTGTGTCCCCTCGATTTCAAACACCGGAGAACCCTGAGTAGCTCATCACTTGGTTTCTTCGAGATTACGGCTACATTGCAATGATCTCCGTCCGAATATTCTACATTCATCAGAATGTGGTAACTTATATCAAAAACATTTTAATTTTAATTTATATAAGTAATTGAAAAAAAAAGAGAAGCGACTACAAAATAAGAGAGGAATTTTACCTTTGGGTAAGTATACAAGCCTTCCGGAACTCCACAAGGCTGCAAAGTCGTACTTGACTTTCTCACAATGCAAAACGATTTCCTTCACCCCAACAAAGCCCATCAGATAAAGAGCAGATTCTATATCATCATAAATAGGTTTAACATCGGTATTGTTAGGGACTGGGCAGTCATCTAGGTTCCAGAAGGCGACTGTTAATTTCCCTTTGAGCCACAAAAGAAAAGGGACAAAGTCATGTACGGATTTTGGATCATGTTGCTATGAGCGAGATTGAAATCTAACAGACAGACAAATTTCGCGAGATGGAAATAGAGATCTTACCGGAAAAAAATTGGACCCTCACTCCTTTGTCGCCCATGGTTCCACCGATGATGATTGATTGGGGTTTGTAAGAGAAAGGTTTTCTTTTTTCCCTCGCTCAGAGATCTATCTATTAAGCTGTGCCTCTCTTAACCCTAAAAAGTGCCAAAACATGCGCTCGGAGATTCTTAAGATGCCATCAATCGTAATAGCCCAATGGGCCCAGAAAAGGCCTCGTATTTGGTCTACCATCTTATCTGCTTGTAATATGAACAAAAATAACCCCCTTTTTTCTCCACAGAACAAAAAATAAAAACCCTCTAAGCAGGTTTTGAGGGCAAATACTTTTTAACGTCCCACACCCTGCATTCTTTTCCAAACACATATTTTGCTATGTGAAACTATTTTTCTGTACATTAATAGTTTATTTGTGTTACCAGATTTTATATTTCTGTTTTAATAATTTAATTTAGAAACCATAATAATTTTGAAAGTGAAAAATAGTTAATCCATACAACTTTTTCTTATTTAAATAAAAATGTATTTTAAATATTATTTTATTTTTTCACACATGTTTGTCTAAAAAGCTATTGTTGTCAATTAATACTTCTTATCTTTCTAGTGTTTGTATTTATAGATGTATAAATTGTGTTTGTAAACATATTTATATTGTTTAAAAGATATAATTTTTTAGTATTATGAAAACTTCTGGATGCATTAAAAACTACTAATAGATTATTGTAAATATTTACCACACAGGGAATTTTATTTTTTGTAATAATAAAAATTGGAAATGTTGAAGTTTGTTTCTCAAGAAATTTCATTATTCACAAATACAAGAACACTCAAGTTAAAAATGATAAGCTTAGTAGCATTTCTCAAGATGAGTTGGATTCTTCTTGGTTATCGACTCGGGGTCTCTTCAAATCAGGTTCTATTTGCAGATTCTGGCTGCTTGGTTGTAACCTCTTCTAGTTGTCACTTTCTTCAATCTTTACATATATCACAAGCCAACAAAAAACTGTTTTATTAATCGACAAGAGTCTAAGAGCTCCTTAATATGCATACAAACATGACTTTTATCTTGTTAAGTTTTTCCCTCACAGTTTTAACCGTTTGATTCATTGAGGAAGACCCAAAATACTCTTACACAATTCCAATTTAAACTCTTTTATCACTTCTCTTTCTTAAAATAGAAACCAATAAGCATAAGATATCTTGAAAACTGTAACTAAAACCTCATAAATTATTTTAATATGTGTAAAATTTCTAATACATGCATCTTATTGAAACGAAGTGAGTATTTGATTATATAATTGATGGATTTGCAATGGATTTGGGGACATTAGTGTTTCATCTTACTCCTCAAATGTTTAACCTAACAAACTTGAAAATGACCTCTAATCAGCTGCTTAATTGGTAGCAAGAAATTTGATCACTTTGATTAATAGAGAAATAAGAAAACGGGATGGCATTACAAGAGCTGTGACAGGGGAGCAAGAAACTGACTTGTGCCTAATAATTCAATAACTGATTCTATCGTTCATAACCATATCCAATTCGGTTTACCGGTCAAAGATGATAGCATGCATATAAACCAAATAAAGTTACCTTCTCTACGACTAATATGGGCCTCGCATGGGCTTATAAACATGACGGCCTATCGGAAATATTAGTTTATAAAAGGAAGTCCTCATGTTCATTCGTAATTTCAAATATGGATGTATATTCTACAAAATTACTCCCCCTCCCTTGTAAAAAGAGAAAAAAAAAAAGAGGCCCTTTCAGTTCAAAAATTCATCAACAGAAGTAGTATCTTCTTCTTCTTCTTCTGCCTTCTTGGGATTACCATCAGCCACAAACGTCTTCTTGTCCAAATACTCCTCTTCAATCGTGTCTTTAAGGACAAATAGCCTCTGAATAACGATAGGTTGGCTCATCTGTTTAGCTTCTCTTCCTTGTTCAAATGATAAGCATCAAGCATTGTCTTTATCCACTTATGCAGCTCCTTTGGCGTCCTGTGTGTATGAATCAACACCGGTGGTTAAAAGATGATACATCAATCTAAGGTTTGGATGTTACATTGTTAACTACTTACGTGTATAATGCTTTAGGGTCCTTAGCTTCATGGTCATCCCCAGGAGAGAAAGCTGTTGGCTGTTGCTAGAGCAGAGAATCTTTCTTCCGGGTCTGTTATGTTGAGCAAATACTTTAACAGCTTGATTTCTTTAGGCGTTATGCTTCTAAGGCTGCTCTTTGTAGCTTTGTAAAGATGATACATTATGTCTTTGGCCTGTTCACAAAGGAGTATGAGAAGATTGTAAAGTTGAAAGCTTAGGTGATGTAATAAATACCTCGTTTGTAACGGTTTGAGACTCTTTAGCAGCAGCGTAAGCAGAGTTTATTAATAAGATCAATGAGGAATCTAGCTCCTTGGCCTTAGCAAGGCTTCTAATCTTTTCACAAGCAGCATCCACGGAAGATGAGTTTAAGATATCATCAAACTTGGCTTGAGCAGTATCTAAGGTCTCAACGTTTTCTAGTGTATTGTCGTAAGCACTCACTGCAGATAAACATCTAGCTGAAAGCCTCGCAACAGCTGCATCAAAACAGAAACGATGAAACAGTCAGAACCAAATAGATAGCAAGTAAAACATATAGTTAGTGTTACCATCTCTGTCTTCTAAGCCATTATTTTGAAATTTTACAAAAGGGTAATATAGTAATTTGACATCACATATTCACAGGCCAACTTCACATGAAGAGACTACTTTGATTGTCTCTGTTTCTTGTTTCTCGAGTGTGCTGTCTTGCTCAGGATTTGTCATTACGTAAGCCTTTTGTGCTGTTCTATGTGGTCGGCTTTGAGCAGGCTTGTGAGGCTGTAATAGAGAGAGCTTAGTGCAAGCAGTGTAAGAGAATAATGCAACCATTTTTTTCTTGTCTGAAAAACTGTGAAAAAAGAAGAAGAATGTTGTGAGATGTTATTTGGTTACAGAAATTCAGAAACTTGGTTTGTAGATAGATTTGATGAGATTGAGAAATGGCCAGAGCTTATTACAACTTTTTTTTTGCTCATTTATTTTTGGTGTTTTGTGGTACACCTTATGTAAGACAATCATATGAGAAGTTACAGGTTTTGTTGTTTTATTTGTTAAATCTTTTATTCTTTATTTTGAAGTAGATTTTGATACAACAGAGAACCATATAAGAAAAACATTTGCATGGAAAGTTCAGTATGTTTTCACATACCATAACATAGAGAGTACATGAACCATTATCTATACATTACATGGAAGTTCAAAGCATCATATAGTAAAAGACTTATTGTAGGATAAAGACATTTATCAGTTCTTGTACTTCATGGTTTCTTTCTCAAATCCAATAGTTGGGAACTGCTTAGCGAATTCCTCGACGTCGTGGCGCAGCTTGGCAATCTCTGATTGAATGGCTGAAGACGATTCCATTGCTGACACAAAATCTTTCAGCTTGGTTCCTGTTTTTTTTTAGAAGTCAACAAATGAGTGTTCTAGCATTGTTTTATATGAACTGAAAACCATAGAGAATCATTTGATCAGAGAATTTTAATAAACCTTGAGCTTCAGCTTTGACTTTGAGAGCCAACTTCACAGCTTTGTCAAAGTATTCAGCTACTTTGGCAAAGTCTTCCTCAACAAAGCCTCTGGAAGTGAGAGCAGGAGTACCTAATGGCAGATAAATTTCAGGGGAAGGTTCCAAAGACATAAAGCATAAGTAAAATAATTCTTACCCATTCTGATTCCACCGGGAACCATGGCAGAAACATCTCCAGGAACAGTGTTTTTGTTTGATGCAATGTGAACAGCTTCCAACACTTTCTCAACTCTAGATCCATCAATTCCCTGCTAACCAAAAAAATCAGATAAATAAGTACAAAAGGAGTTTTAAGTTACAAGTAAAGAGCAAGTGACCTTGGGCTTCAGGTTCACTAGAACCAGATGGTTGTCAGTTCCACCAGAAACAAGTTCATAACCTTTCTCCATCAGAGTCTGCACCAAACAACCAATTAAACGTTTTAGAGATCAAAATCAACAGTTAGATAGTATATACATAAAGGGTTCTTTCTCTTCTACTTATTCACCTGAGCGAACTTTGCAGAGTTACTCAGGACTTGCTCTTGGTATGCTTTGTACTCTGAAGTAGTTGCCTGCAATTTTTAAAAAACCATTAAAGAAACTGCCAATCCAATAAGCAACGTTTAGTTTCATTCAATGTACCTGTTTTAAAGCAACAGCTAGTCCAGTAATAGTGTGGTTGTGTGGACCACCTTGAAGACCAGGGAAGACAGCTTGATTGATCTTGTCTTCAAAATCATACAAAACCTTTAAAAAAAAACAACAAATTGAATTAACATGATAAAGAGTGTAGATAAATCTTTAAAAAAAAAAACATTTCTGTTTTGTTTGTTTACTTACCTCTTTGCCTTGTTTGTTAATTTCCTTAACACCCTTTCTGTAGAAAATCATGGCACCACGAGGTCCACGAAGAGACTTGTGAGTAGTGGTGGTTACAACATCTGCATATTCGAAGGGTGAAGGGATAACACCAGCTGCAACCAAACCGCTTATGTGTGCCATATCTGCTAGCATCACAGCTTTTTGCTTGTTACACACCTGCCAAAAAGAGTTTGGCTAGTCAGAACTCAACTCTTGATCTGTTATGAGATTATTTGGATATGAGATTGAGTAAATACCTTACGGATGCGGGCATAGTCATACAATCTAGCATAAGCACTTGCACCAGCAACAATCAATTTTGGCCTGAAAAGAGTTGCACTTTTCTCCATCTACAGATCAAGATTAAACAGTATGAAGAGGAGGATAGTATTGTGGTTACTTAAATCAAATAATAATGAACCTGATCATAGTCGATAAAGCCAGTGCTCTCGTCCAAACGGTAGGGCATAGTTTCAAAGAAGATAGACACAGCAGATATCTTCTTGGTGTCAGTCTGCATGAGATATACAAAGAGAAATTCTTATAAATCAGAACACAGAAACAGTTGTGTACTTTCAATATTAACAGGATAATAATAATAATATGAAGGTGTATGTACCTGATAACCATGAGAAAGATGACCACCATGAGGAAGATCAAGTGCCATGATTCTCTCATGAGGCTTCAACAGTGCAGTGTAAACATGGAAGTTGGCAGGTGATCCAGACAATGGTTGCACATTCACTGTATAGCCACATCACTCATAATAAGCCATCAAAGGATCATACACAAGTCAAAATAAATGAATGAATTGGTTTACCTCCCCACTTCTCAGGGTCTAACCGGAAAGCTTCAAGAGCACGCTTCTGGCATAAGGTTTCCGCCATGTCTATGAACCTTCAAAAGAAGTCAACGTCATTTTTTCAATCCTTGTTACAGAGATTGGTCAAGCAAACATGTCTAAGATCATGGAAAATATTCATGAAACATACTCGTTTCCACCATAGTATCTAGCACCAGGGTACCCTTCACTGTACTTGTTAGTCATCACAGAACCAACAGCTTGCATCACCGAGACAGATGTGAAATTCTCAGATGGAATGAGTTCAAGTCCCTTTTAATATCATAAATCATTACAAAGATCAGAGCCTAAGTTACATCCATCACTCAAAAGGAACAAGACTTTTAAAAAAGACAGACCTTCCATTGTCTAGCTTTCTCATGCTCAATGATGTCAGCAATCTCAGGATCAACTTCCTCCAAAGATGCGTTAAGCTGTTTTGGCCACTGCAACGAACCAAAAACATTGCTTCAGACGCAAGGAAACTAATAGATTAAGACATGGTTTAAAGAGAGCAAGGAAGGAACAAAAAGCTCACAGTGACACGAGATCTCTCCTTGTCATCAACAGCTTCACTTGGCAAAGATGACTGCAAGAAATAACAACAACCATAAATCAGACACACAAGATTCTGTCATGATGATGAAAACAGAGGATTCATGGGGGTGTTAATTACCATGTAGCATGAAGATGATCTTATAAGAGGACGAATAGGTTTGTCAACTGAAGAAGAAAGTCTCCTAAGAGCCATAGCCATCGCCATTCTCACCAAACCTCTCTGCCTTCCTCTCTCTCTGGGAACTCTACAAACAGATTTGAATTATGAAAAGAATCATAGTGGGCTTATCCTCTGAAGAGAGCATTGTGGCCTCTGCTTTTGGCTTAGCTTTTGGTGGTCGCAATTTGTTTTTTGAATTTTTTCCCTCTTTTCTTTTTATATTTTTTTTTTTTTTTTGGGTTTTCTTGTCATTATCTCATGTCACAATCTCTCCACCAACGTTTCCATTCTATATGGTTATAAAAAAAAGACAACATATTAATATATATACTCAGGATGAGTATAATAAACACCACTTTACTTGTATTTCTTCTGTATTATATATGCTTCAATTATATAATTCAAATACACAAGAGAATGATAAAAAAAAAAAATTAGATTGATGAGAAGACACATGCTGCTTGTCATGGCTTGATTTCTTCATCAACATCATGGTATCTTGGAACTTCAATCTGTGAATAATTTTAAACGAGTTATAACATTAGTTAATATATATATGCTTAAAATGTTTATTTTGTTCATCAAGATTTCAAGTTATAAATTCTACCAAGTGCTGTTATTCGCTTCCTCTTGGTGGGGTCTCATAGTCGGAATGTTCCGGTTGGCTTAGTTGCAGCCGAATCTGAGTGTGTGATTCATCATCCGCGACGACTAGTTCACGGTGCGTAAAACCGTTTGTGCTTGTTGTATAAGCCTGAAAGACCCATTAATGAATGTTGAAACCATCACTTTGGAGTTATTCCAAGTACATGGAGTTTGTTTATATCTTTGCTACCTTCTTGTAAAGCTCAACATTTTCTTGATGAATCCTTTGTACTTTTCTTGATAATTCTAGGTTTTCCTGATGAATGAGGTTCCTCTGCAACCACGAGCCAAAATAAGAATTGTCACTTATGTTGTTTTTGGAGAATATATATACGTAACTTGTAGTAACCTTTTGGCTTAGTTCTTGGATTTCATGAGTCAACATTTGTTCCTGTAAAATCCGGAAACGCAAGAAATTGTTTAGAATTACAATGTGCTATTTAATCGATATTTGAGCAATACATTCAAAAGTTTAAAATACAAGGTATTAATATAGCATATACCTTTTTCATACGAACTCCACGCAAACTTATCTCAAGTTGATTCTCAAGATTGTTTAGCTCGTTGACACTCAAACCATTTAGTTGTTCCCCCATAATTTGTCTGCTTCGTAGTAAACATTTAATCAGAATGAATAAGTATAAGTTTCTTCTTTTCTTTCTTCATGTATTTTCGTGGATATTGTGATTAAAGACTAATTCTTATAATATGATATATGTTACACAGTGGTGATAGTTCAACGCAATACCGATGGTTTTCTTGCAAAGCATGCAATTCTTGCCTTAGAACTGCAGCTTCTCTCTGCCAAAACTACAAGTACACGACAAAATAACTAATCAAAAGATTATATGAAGTTAGACTTCATTTAAAATGAAAACTTTACATACGAACTATATAAGCTTTAACCAGCTCTCGACTTTTTTTTCTTGCCAAATGAAGAAACAAAAACAAGGAAAAAATTTGGGTTTGATTCAGTTAACTTAGATCAAGCCATGGTGGCATGAGCTCAGAGAATCGTTTCAAGTGACGCCTTAATAAGAGCGTGTCGAAGCAAAATCTATTTTCAATACTCTATTATAAAACCACAATTACGCAATTCAATCACACTTTCTCATGTTTGTCTAGATAAGTACCTTGACTTCTGATGCCGGGTTTAATAGTTGTTGTTGTTCGATCTTGCTCTTGTTGTACCTATCAATAACTGACTTCATACTGTTCAAAAGATTGGATATTAGTAACTTGATCGTAGTGTATATAATTCACTCATATCATATCATCACAGTAAAGAGTATGAGAAATTGTTTGTGTGAAGTTGATTGAGGAATCTTTCAATTCCTCCATTGAAAAACTCTTCATATACATTTAAAACTTATAATCTTCATTTTTTGTGCAGTATCCTAGCATGTGTTGTATATAGACAATAGAGTCCTCGGATTTTGTAATAGGCTATACAAACAAAACACACACAACCCTTTATATAAACTAGTGTATGTCGTTAGTTTCTTTTTTCAATAAAATTTCTTAGGTGTGTATAAGCAAGAATTTTTAAACAATCTAATCATCAAGAAGAAAAAAAACAAGGCTAAGGAATTACTGTGGCACACTTTTAATACCAGATCCAAGAAACAATAACATGAGTCAAGGTATAGCATGTAGCCGGTTTAATACCCAGATCCAAGAAACAATAACATGTGTCAAGGTATAGCATGTAGCCAATTAATTTCAAGAATGACAAGCTCAATTATGCTAATTTAATGGTTCATGAACTCTATGTTATTGGAGAAAGAATGATCTTGACAAATATCTCATCTAATAGGTGTTTTTTTGCTATATAATCATGGAAATTATCAAATTTTAATTTCACATTTATATAATTCTTTTTTACTTGGTTGAAATGATAAATATGCAAATCGTATTGTATATGGTTTTATCAAAATTTCAAAAATTCAAAATAATTAGAAGAGTTTTTTCTTTTTAAATTAGCTTTTAATATATGGTTGATCTCCATTAATATAGATCGTCAATTAATATAGTTTATCTCTATGTTTATTATGCTAACCAGAATTTTAACGATTAACTCAGATGAAATATAAAGTTCAGGGTCCTGCTTATATAGTGTTACTATACAAAATGTCATCTGATCGTTAGTTCATAATAAATAGCACTATACAAAAAAATATCTGGAAGATGGTTATGACTACAAATAGATCATTATTTACCTAATTAGAATAAGATGTATCCTAGTTTATTGGTTTTGAGTAATTAAGTCTCTCTCCACAACAATCGTTCAATCTTGTGGTCTCAGTTTACAACTACCTTTCCATAATTAACTGATGTTTTGCACATTCACTTGTTATCTCATCTAATTTTCTAACATATTTGAACTTGGAAAGGCAAACGATGGGCCTTTAGCTATAAGTCATGTCCACGCATGTATACACAAACATACTGATGCCTACACACAATCACTCGCATATTAAGCCAAGAAACAAAGTTCGAATTAAACCTTTTCATAATCAAAGCTATTCTTCTTCTTCAAACTTCTCGTTTCAAGTTTTCTTTGTTAAGAATAAATATATATTTTGTCGGCTATAGGTACACATCTTATTATACATATAGCAAAATGTAACATGTTCTACCGACCGCAAGATGCAAACAAAACTACTACAAATGAATAAATCATACAACGAAACCTCAATGAATATACCCAACCCGTAGCATAAAATTATATAAGTACATATATATACGCACACGTACACGCTTCCATATATATCCACACAATTAAAAAGATGTGCAGATTTCAGATTGAAGAACTATAAAAGAGGAACCTGGAGCTGGAAAAGTCATAGAGCTTTCCGGTGCTAGAGAAGATGATTAAACCGACCTCAGCGTCGCAGAGAATAGCTAGCTCTTTGGCTTTCTTGATAAGACCCTTTCTTCGTTTGGAGAAAGTGACTTGTCTACTCGTAGAATCATCGATCCTTTGGATCACAATCTTCCCTCTTCCCATCAATTTTATTCGCTAATTGATTCTCCTCTGGTTCTTCTCTTTTCTAGGGTTTTGGTTTTTGTAGATCTTACCAAGACCAAAAGAGAAGCGTAGCAGGAGAGAGACGAATAAGGGGAAAGAGAAAGGTAGAAATAGAAAGAGAGGAAGGTTGAGCCAAGAGTCAACAATCTATTCGAGGAATAAATTAAGGATATATATGCATATGCACACACATATATACATACACATAGATGATGTTTCCAGTCCAAAAATATATGGTAAGTACCAAGTTTCTAGTCCAAACTATTATTTGTGTGTAATTTTAATAAAGGGAGAGAAGAAAACAAAAGCAACTAAAATAGAATGAAGTTCTTATAAAGTTCCTAGGTTAAGAGAATATATAGATACAGTTCATAGTTGTGTGTATATATATATATATATATATAAATTTATTCACTGGTTCTTTGTATACTTTATTATGGGAGATAGTGGAAACTTAATGGAATTGTTTGGATAAAAAGAAGTGAAATAATAATAAACGTTTAGTGTGATTTAGGTAACTTTCCATTATCAATAATATTTCCTTTTTTAACATGTCCGTACATACTTATAATTTTTTTTTATCATTTTTTCAGATGTCATGTGGAAATACAGAATGGGCGCATCACAGGACTGTGTCCCTCTCTGACAAAAACACTTGCTTAGTATGCTGCTTTTCATTTGTTTGATTATTTTTATTAGTGCTAAAACAGACTTTTAAAAATAAGAACTTATTTATGGTCAGAGGAAATAATATTTTAAATAGATATGTACAAAAGATATTTACTCAAAAAAGTAAGAAGATCGATTGAACAAAATACATAGTACAGATCTATATGCCTTTCTGTAAAATTTACAAAGGACTTAATTATTTTGTGACAATGAAAAATAGTACATATAAAATACCTTATATAGTACACGTGTCAGACAGGAACTTGGAGTTGCGGCGATTCACTTTATTAATTGTTCTGTCGTAAGTTACCAGATATGGCAAGATATTTAATAGATATCAAATAACTAATTGTTAAAAATAGATATCAAACAACTAACGTTTGTTAATTTCTACGCCTTAATGCTTAATTTGTAATCAAAGCAATTTCGAGTCGAACTAAAAATATATGAATAAGAGAAAGTAAAATATAGTGAAGTAAAATTATGACTTATTATTAACTAACAATAGTTTCACATAAAAAGGATATATATATATATATATATATATCTGAGATTAGTTTCAGATAGTTTCACATATATATAATTAATTAACAATAGTTTCACATATATATACAAATAAATATCTGAGATTATTCAATAACAATGTATTGAAAACGAAAATATATACTTTCTGCTTGAAGCTAATTCATATAATTCCCTATATGAAATTATATATAATCAAGGTAAATATTTGAACTACTTGTTTTTTTTATTAAATTACTTGTTAAAATGAACATTACAGCAAAACTACTGTAGTACATGTATAAATAATTCTTTGTTTCAAACCTATTATTAGAATATACATGTAAGTTTTGTGTGTTTAGATCTGTATACTGCTTAGATCACACTGTTTGTTTATGTGCATCTGAACCTATTATTATGCTTTCCTAATTATTTTATACAGTGGCGAACCTAGGTTGACTGAGAACGAGGCAGCTGCCCCCACAATAATGTCAAAATAAATTTATTTGCATAAGAAACAAGAAACATTTTATAGCATAGTTGGTTCCATTCAATTATTTGCCCCTTCTAGACCTTGGTTCAAACCCCTCCTACTTCATTTATTTACTTTTTATCTATTTTATGCCCCCACAAATAATATGTTCTAGATTCGCTACTAATTTTATATACAAATTTTTTAATGAACTATTCTAGAATTAGTTTATGAAAAGTAACTTTCACCTATCTCTAAACTCAACATTTTCGTGTTTGGTTATGTTGTTTTAGCTTATTATATGCAGTGTAGCTGCAACAGAATTTAGAATTATAACAGTGTGTATAATAACTGTATAATTAATAACTGTAAACTTTAATATGGTGGCTAAAAAGTGTACAAGAGAGAAAAAAAGGTAGAGCAAAGAGTTATACATGAGACTATTCGCGTCTATACAACTATTACTTGAATATACAAATCCCTTCTACTCCATTTATTTACTTTTTATCTATTTTATGCCCCCACAAATAATATGTTCTAGATTCGCCACTGATTTTATATACAAAATTTTTAATGAACTATACTAGAATTAGTTTATGAAAAGTAACTTTCACCGATCTCTAAACTCAACATTTTCGTGTTTGGTTATGTTGTTTTAGCTTATTATATGCAGTGTAGCTGCAACAGAATTTAGAATTATAACAGTGTATATAATAACTGTAAACTTTAATATGGTGGCTAAAAAGTGTACAAGAGAGCAAAAAAAGGTAGAGCAAAGAGTTATACATGAGACTATTCGCGTCTATACAACTATTACTTGAATATACAAATAACATAAGAATTGTAAAAACCTTCGATGACCGTTTTTAACTATTTGGTTATTTTATCCCAGATGAATGAGGTAGGAATACATTTAGCATCGTTACTCGTAAGTCATGTCCACCTAAGCGTAATTTTTTTTTTTTTTTTTGACAAAGGGGTCACCTAACCGTAAGTGAATGCATCTTATATAGTATTATTATCGTTTGTTTGACCAAAAAAAAAAATATAGTATTATCGTTTGTTTACCATAGATCACTTATATCAACCGAGAATCGACAGTATACCTAGTCAAAACGAATCGTGTACGAAGTTTTGTTGAATCGAAACGAAACTAAACCACAAATGAATTTGGTTACCTAGCTAGACCAAATCCAAACCCTAACCAAATTCAAGTTTATAACGATGAAAGCTGAGAAGATTTGAGTGGGGCCCAAATAGACAACATGGTAATAAAGATCCATGAGGGCCACGTGGGCTCGACTGCTTCGAACCAATCACATCTCGAATCTCATGCTCAACTTCAGCTTTTGCTCTTTTTCTATTTACAACGTACGAATCTTAAAATGCTACGCTTCCAAGTGACCAAATCCCAAATCATCGTCGTCTTAAGATAAAAAGATTTAGGTACAATTCACGCCAGGTGTCAATCATCAGCGAATCATTTCGATTTTACCAATAATAATCATTATTATCTTCAATTTGATTAAGTTTCAAGCTTTAGTTTTCCAGATTTTGAAAGTTCAGAAATAAACTTTCTACAATTGTCATTCTTTGTTTATTTTGGTTTGGTAAGGAGCCCTATATCTGTAGTTTGTGTTGTTGTTTCTTTACTGTATAAGAACCATTCTTAAAATAAAATGTTTACAAAGGACTAGACAAAATATTTATCACAGGTATAGAAGCTAAAATTAATAAGCAACCACCAAAAATAATATGTTTCATAAATGACCTTAATTTCGATAAAATAATTTCCTTACAAATGTTTTTAGTGTTTATTACCCCACACCCATACTGACAACCTGTTGTTCAAATATCAGATATGCCTTCATTAATCGTGCACATATATGTGTATTCTATAAACACCTATTCGTTTATTTAATATATATAGTTTTTCTCAGGTGATTCTTGTAACTTTACAGTTTACACCAACTTGGCTATTTCCCACACCACTTGAGTCCACTTGAGGGTGTATCAAATCAATATTATTGTTTTTACAATGCTCAGTTAGATGGAACTTTGAAAATTAAACCATGTTCTAATGTTATACATGATATATCTTATATATCTATTAAAAAGGAGATGCTCCGTTTTGTTTTAGCGTGTAATTAAAGCTTGGAGATTTGTGATCCATTATATACATTTAATTGATTACCGTAAATCTCCATTACTTTCATTACCTTTTTCCACAAAACATCATGTTTAATCAGAGGTATGAAAATTACCTGTTGGTTATTTATATACAATAATTTTTCTGGTTAATGCTATCAAATTCACGTGAGAGGATACTAGCTCAGAGTGATAGTGTGAATGATAATAAACCTTATTCAGATTATTGATCAAACCAAGAAAGGGGGATAAGATGTTGTCCCTTTTGATGTTATAAAAGATTAAATCCCACATGATCTTTCGGTCTATAAATTTTTTAATTTTATCCTCTTTTATGGATTTCCGAAGATAATAAATATAGTTAGCAAATGCAAAGGTCGAGCTGAAAAATGGCATTGGAACTTGAAGACTGGTGGTAATTGTACCAAATGTTCCAAACTTGTTGGCCATTATTTCATTTTTACATGTTCTTTTCTGATTGTAATTTGTATAATCTGATTGTAATTTGTACTTTGTTACACATAGACGGCCCTTTAACTTTAAGCCGGATACATTCAGGGTCGATTCTGAAATAATAAGAGTCAGTAGCTATTTCTACGTAATATTTTTTAATAAATTTGGGAATCTAAAATTTATTTTTTGTAATCTATATCCATAGTTTTTTTATAAAAATTTTTTAGAAACATGTAATAAATGTTTCATTTAGCATGATCCATGGTCGGTCATGGATACACTTTATAACCAACGTAAATCTGTTGGTATTGTTTTTATTATTGGACAGCCAAATCTTTTGGTATTGAAAGTTGAAACTTAAGAATATACCTTAATTAAATATTGTGCGTATGATAAACAAAGGAGTCGAGATAAACGGTAACACTAGTTGACAATGTCATCATAACTCACTAGCATATTAAAATTTCATATTTTAAATATTGATTCCTTACATAGTTCTTAAAGTAATCCACGAAATGTGAGAGCATGATTTAAAGCGATAGTGTGTTCCATAATTGAGTTTAGCTCAAAAAGGAATTGACAATTAATTTTACTCAAGAGTGCATTTGTCTTTTACAAATTAATTAATTCAATCGATCATAAATGATACTTTGTTACAGTAGACCCCCTTTAAAAGAAATGTACAAACTTAAATATTTGAGCGACCTGGATCGTTTAGAGTAATTGTACCCAAACAATATTTATATGCTGGATAAAGAGTTAACACTAACGTTAGGTGAAGTGTGGATGTACTTAAATAAAATTTTGGAACATGTCATAATTTATATAATTTTTTGCTGTCATAAAATAATCACTCATGGTGATACATAAAAGCTAGCAAATATCAGAAATTGATACATACATGTTTATATCTGATCCACTTTTATATATTTGGAAGACTGGAACATCTTGTATTTAGATTAAGATATTAAAAAATTGTCAAA